GCACCTAATTTCCCCTCGCTTTGTCATTCTTTTATTGTTTTTTCCTTCCCTCCAAATTTTTGCGTCWTTCAAATTTAATTCCTGCTGCCTTCCTTTGTTGGTTGCATGTATTTCCCTTTCTTCCTTTCTGCTTTCATCCTCCCCTGCAATATTCTGTGTCTCTCTGTCACCGGCTTGCTTTCTCTCCTCTGAGTATCAATGTGTACGTCTAACACCGTTTGATTGTACGGTTATTCCTCAATATACTGTTTTTTTGTTGTTATTTTGATACAGAATTTAATGAAAGTCACTGTGTTGTGCTGAGTGGAAACTTTTCAGAGWGAACAATAAATGTTTCATTGAACGTCTAAAGAAACGTTTGACAGTAAAAGTTGAGATTAAAGTCTGTTGTAACAAGCTCTCCGCAACAGGAAGCACATCTTTAAACTAATTATTTTTGTCCAGAATGAAATGCAGTGAGTTTTACAGAACATTAGGAACATAATGTAGGCAATTAGAATAATTAGTTAAAGCAATTAGAAGAATTAAATTGAATAGGCAGCCATTAAAACATTTAAATGTGTAAGATTAAAAAATGTGAATTAAAATTTTAAATTATGTCTCCAAAGACTAAATTTGTTCTGGAATATGTCTCAGTACTCTTAGGGCTCCTTTTAATGCTTTTTAAAAATATGTATTTATATATTTTTATATGGTAAATGTGTGGTGTATCATGCTTTAAGATTATGTAAGTTGGCTTAATTGTGTTTTTTTGAAAACTTTCTAAAGGCAGCTTTTGGGACAATATAAGTCCAAAACATATTTAGCTGTAATTAGTTTAATTATGCTTAAAAGAAAGGTCATGTGACAATGATTGTGTGCGGGGAGTTGGAAGGACTTAAAGTCCCACATTGCTTCTCTGCAGACTGATTCAAAAATTACATCATGACCGCTCCTACTGGGTCCTGCTAGCTGCAAGTCTCAGTGTTTCACATTTCACTCACATTTGTTTTATAATAGTTTTTGGATGAATGGATAAGTCAGCATGTCAGTTTATAATTAATATAGACTGAGATGGTTTGAACATGTCCAGAGGAGGGACATATTGGTAGGAGGATGTTGCTGCCAGGAACAAGACAGAGGAGATGTATGGATGCAGTTAGAGAGGACACAGAGGTAGTTGGAGTGAGAACAGGACGAGACGGAGGAGGATGACTTGCTGTGGCAAGCCCTGAAAAGGGAGGTGATTATTTTAGGTAAAGTTAATTTTTTTTGTGCTTGCACCGTCATCATTTTTTTTCTTTTGTTAAGCAAAGAGAATATACTATAAATCAGTGTTTAAAAGAACACTGTATAAAAAAAAGAAGTTGAAGATTTCATGTTATAAATCTTTTGTCAGTTTGTTATCTCTATATGTCAAACCCTCAAGTTCCGATGCCAGAAACTCTTATTTCTACCTCACATGGCAGCTCAGAGGGGTAACAGCAGCTGTTGCCTCCTRGGTTTTTCATAGATCAGAGACTGCAAGAAGCTTTAAACAGTTATTGCAAATGGAATTGAATATGTTTTTAGAAAAAAAGTGTTTTGAAATTACTAWATGACTCACGTGTGCTGCCACGTGTGAGTTTTTACTCTACCCAATTAATTTCCAATTTCTCCTTTTTCCTGTCATGTCTTTCACTGCCTTTTTTCCAGAGAGCAAATTGTTACAGATAAAAATCTCTAGACAGGAATTGCAAATAAGAGAAAAGATGAACTATGTCTTGTCATGCGCTACTATCAGTGATGGTCATATTGCCTTCTACAAATGTTTTTTTTATCCTATATGGGAAGAAATCTGCCTTTTTTTCCCTGTACAAGTATAAAATAGTTTTTTTTCACTTAAAATTAATGATTCATAAAAGTTCATTCCAAAAAACTTTCTTTAAACTTTTCTTATTGCTGAAGATTTTTGTATTTTCCCAATAGATCAGTGCTTTGCATTGCTGACAGATTCTCATTAAGACTTTATTGCAGAGTTTCAGTCTTTAGGTTAGTGGATATACTGCAGCGTGAAGTCAGAACAGTGGCTTTATTTTATCATAAACCTGCTATTTCAGCACTTGAATGGTGTCTCCTCTCAGCTGAGTGAAATGTCAGCCCTCACAGTGCAGCTGCAGTCTATCTTGGAATCATTTATTTCAGACTTTAATATATGAATTGATTATAGCTCGGCATACTAACAGTCTAGTGGTAATTATTTAGCTTCAGATGATGGAGGAGGAATTAGTAATAAATGTGCGTCAAACTGTGAGCAAGAGAGACAAATGTGTTAGAAGCTAATTTTCTGGGACGCAACCATACTGTCACACAGGAGGCCAAGTCTGAATGGAGAAATTAATTCTTTCATATAACGCTRGGCGCTCTGGAGCCAGAGGGACACAACTGACCTTTGTGTGCACACGTACAGGCAGACAGATACAGTCGCACACCTTCTCCACATGCATTCACACACTCACACAAATAACGCCTGTAGCTCTGGGCACGCACACTGACTCATCTCCCCTTGGAGCTCCACGAGAGCCATTCACTACAGAGGGAGCGCTACAGAGAGGACAAGAGAGAGATGGAACGCGAGAAGTGTTTATTGATAGGCAGAAATGAGGTGAGGGAGCCGAGGAAAGAAACACAGAGGAAACGAAGGGAACAAACACAACGACGCATAAATATGGGGAAAGAAAAATAGTTGAAATCATTAGAGAGAAAATGTCGGAAGCGTCAGTGAGAGGGGTGGAGGTGGGGGGAGTTATTGAAAAGGTGAATGGCTCCCTTGCTGAATGGTGATCAGATGAGAATACTGACGAGGCCCTGGAATAAACGATGCTCACGTATTCCCACACACAAAATGTGAGTTCCATGTTAGGGGCGGAGTTGAACCAGAATACAGTCTTTGAAAAGCAAGATTATGGGTCTAAAGAAGAATGTATTTCATAAGAAATAAAATAGATTTTTTTTCTCGGAAGTGAGAGAAATAGTAACCTTTTTTATCCACTGTATTTTGTTCCATGAAGTAAAGTGGGTAAAGTGTGCTGGAATCCAGAAAGTTAAGCAACTACAATCAAAAACCACACAAGGTTCTTTACATTAATATGTGTCGTCTTTTTTTTTTTTTACTGTGGTTTACTGATATATTATCAAGTCAACATACATTATCTGTTTTATTTACTTCCCCTTTCTTATGCCCTTTTAACCAGCTTGAAACTCACTCCAGACTTGAGCTTAAAGTGCAGATATACACTGCTCAAAAAAAAAATAAAGGGAGCACTCAATAACACATCTTAGACATTAAAGAGTAACTTACCCCAAAATTAACCTTTTTTTAGCTGATAAACTGTCTAGAATGTGTCTAAAATGTG